GGACAGCCATTTGTCCGAAATGGTATAGGGTTTCCTGCCTGAGCAGGGGGTTGGACTAGATGACCCCCAAGGTCCCTTCTAACTTTATTATTATTATTATTATTATTATTATATGGATCATCGCACAGTCAGCCAGATGTTCAGACTGGATTTGGCATTTTGTCTACCTATCGAGTCCTCACCAAGGACCTGGGATAGGCAGATGTGGATGTTTCATGGTATTACAGACATGGTTGCAGGATGGAAGCGGTTCCTAGTAAGGCCGCCTTTTGCAATTGACTAATGGCGAATTTGTCAATGCCGATGATGGTGTTCAAGTGGTGCTCCAGTTGTTTTGGGATTGCACCCAAGGCGCCTATGACTATTGGTACTACCCTTGCTTGCTTTTGCCACAGTCTTTCTATATCTATTTGTAGGTCTTTGTATTTTGTGATCTTCTCCAGTTCTTTCTCATCTATTCTGCCGTCTCCAGGCACTGCCATGTCCACCATCCAGACTTTTTTGTCTTTCTTATCGGCAATTGTTAAGTCCGGGGTGTTATGTTGCAGGTGCTTGTCTGTTTGAATTCTGAAGTCCCAGAGCAGTTTAACTTTATCATTTTCTATGACTTTCTCTATTTTACGATCCCACCAGTTCTTGCTTGCAGGCAAATGATATTTCTTGCAGATCTTCCAATGCACCATTGTTGCTACTTTGTCATGCCGCTGCTTGTAGTCAGTCTGTGCGATCTTCTTGCAGCAGCTTACCAGGTGGTCCCCTGTTTCTTCAGCTTCTTTGCATAGGCGGCACTTACTGTCTGTTGCTGTCTTCTCAATTTTGACTTTGTATGCATTTGTCCTTAAGGCTTGGTCTTGTGCAGCCGGAATTAGTCCCTCGGTCTCTTTCTTCAATTTTCCTGCTCTTAGCCATTGCCAGGGTTTTAGCTGTGGTGGCATGGAAGTGCCCCATGTTCTGGGACCTGGGTGGGCTTCCATGTGTTATTGGTGGGCCATTGGGAGAACAGACCCCTGGAGGAGATGGGCAGGGGTCTCCATCAGCAGGGCCCGGTTTCTGTTTTTCCTTGGGATTTGGGGAAACAAAGCAAAACCAAAGGGTTGGAATTAGGAACGGTCTGGGAAGAAAAAACATCCTTTGAACCACTGCCAGCTGATATGCAGGAGAAACAGGAAGTGCCCAGAGCCCATACATTGGACTTCCTTTTTTTATGGGTGAATAAATTTCTTGTACAATTCTCACAGTCGGATCCACAGTTATGGAGATCAGCCCATCGTTGTAACTTGTAGAAGTCACTCCTAGATAGAATCACAATGTTGGGGACAGTTTATATCAGGGGTCTTGAAAAACTTGGCTCTTTTAGGACTTGGGGACTTCAACTCCCAGAATTCCTCAGCCAGCGTGCCTGGCTGAGGAATTCTGGGAGTTGAAGTCCACAAGTCCTAAAAGGGCCAAGTTTCAAGACTCCTGGTCTATGTAGTAAGGTTTCTCAACCTTGGCTACTTTAAGATGGGTGGACTTCAATTCCCAGAATTCCCCAGCCAGCATAGCTGGTTGGGGAATTCTGGGAGTTGAAGTCCACCCTTCTTAAAGGACCGAGGTTAATTAATGCTGATTAAAGTGGTGCAGGCTAGAGCAATGCCTTCCCACGCATGGCAATTTTGAGATATGAGGACTTCAGTTCCCACAAGTCCTAGCAATGGCCATGCTGGCTGGGGAATTCTGGGAGTTGAAGTCCGCCCTTCTTAAAGGGCCCAAGTTTGAGAAACCCTGGTTTACAGTACCGGTAGTCCTCAACTTTGTTTAGTGACCATTTGAAGTTACAAAGACACTGAAAAAAGTGACTTCAAGCTGTTTTTCACAACTCACAACTGTTGTCCCATTGTTATGTGTTGAAAAAAATACATCCAAGAAAAAAGGAAAAAAATCTTTTGCGATCTCTTCAGCCAACTGCCCTGCACAATTGCCCATAAGGGTGCAAACCAATTGCTTACTGAAAAGCTTACTTCTTGCTTTTTAAATTCTGTGTTCAAATTCTCTTTGCATGGGATCAACAGACCGGAGAACTCTCTTGGGATCCGTTTCGCTAGCTATAAAATTGTAAAATGTATATACACCCAATTGCAAAATTGCTGTACAAATACATGCAGACTTATCCGGCAAATTAAAGATAGATGATAGATAGATAGATAGATAGATAGATAGATAGATAGATAGATAGATAGATAGATAGATAGATAGATAGATAGATAGATAGATAGATAATGGGTGGAAGGATGGATGGATGGTTGGATGGAACTAGAAAGGATAGATAATGGATGGATGGATGGATGGATGGATGGATGGATAGATAGATATTAGATAGACAGATGATAGATTTATTAGATGATAGATTTATTAGATAGACAGATGAGATATAGATTTATTATAGACAGATGATAGAATTATTAGGATAGATTTATTAGATAGATATTTATTAGATAGATATAGATTTATTTGATAGATATTTATTAGATATTTATTAGATAGACAGATTAGATATAGATTTATTATAGACAGATGATAGATTCATTAGATTCATTAGATAGATAGATAGTTAGATAGATAGATAGATAGATAGATAGATGAGAAAGATACATAGATAGATAGATAGATAGATAGATAGATAGATAGATAGATAGATAGATAGATACCTAGGTAGGTAGGTAGGTAGGTAGGTAGGTAGATAGATAGATAGATAGATAGATAGATAGATAGATAGATAGATAGATAGATAGATAGATAGATAGATGAGAGAGAGAAAGATACATAGGTAGGTAGATAAGCAGACAGACAGACAACCTTTATTGTCATTTCTTACTGTGGACACAATGGCACACATTAAAAATGAAATTTAGCTGCTTGCTCTCAGTGTACGCATACACAACACATTTAAACCTACTGTAAACACAGGTATAGACCTACACCCTTACATACAAGTAACAAATAAATATTAATCACGACCCATCTTGAATACATAATGGCAATTTATTCAACTCTGTCGTTGTCGTCGTCTTGAAGTTTCAAGGTGTTTCCTTGCCAAACTGGAAAGGCACCCTCTTCATCCATGGCTTAGGCATGCCCGTGTTGTGTGTTGTCTGTGTCTCTTGTGTGTTTTGCGTGAGCCAGCTGGTCTAAATCTATATGACCCCTTTCCTTTTTTTTCCAGCTCCTTCCGTTCGTAGTTCTTAGCGAGGAATGTTCCCAAAGATTCGTTCTTCCAAAAGACCAACCCTCCTTTTTTTTTTTTTTTTTGGAGGGGGATTGGTGGTGGTGGGGAGGAAGAGGAAGCCACGCCCCTTCAGGGGGAAAGTTTATGTGAAACTTTCTTTGAGAAAACACACACACACACACACACACAAACAGCAAGAGAGGAAAAAAGGAACCGGGCAAAGATAAAACACAACAAACAAAACAGCAAAATGCGAAGGAGAGAGGAGGGCGCGCGTTGAAAAAAGGGAGCCCCGGAGAAATGGGGGGGTGTGTGTGTCTTTTTTTTTTTTAATTTTATTTCTTAAAGCAAGCCTTTGTGGGTTTTTTTTTCTTTTGCAAAAGAACGGGGAGGGGGCTGACGCCCCCCAGCACGAGTTAGAAGTTGCATTTTAACCCCCACCACCATCACCACCCCCGGTTGGATTCTCACGAGACTCGTTTGCGCCGAACCGGATCGCCTGCAAGGGAGGGCCTGGAAGTTCGCCCTGCGAACCTCGACTTCGATCGACCCCCCCTGGTGGTATTTTTGGGGGGGGGGTTTCTTCTGCCTCCTCGGCCCCTCGACCCCCGGGGACCTGGCTCGGCCGAGCGAATCGGAACCGCCGCGCGGAAAGAGCGTTTACATTGTTGCCATCCCACCGCCGCTCCGGAGCTGCTTTCGGCCGGATTTTCCTCGCCTCCCCCCGCGGACCCGAGCTCGGAAGTGAACGTGGGAACTCGGTGGAAGTCTGCTGCAACTTGCCCTCCTCCTCCTCCTCCGCCGCACTCCCGGCGCTTCTTTCTTTCTTTCTTTCTTTCTTTCTTTCTTTCTTTCTTTCTTTCTCATTCCAAAGTGATGACTTTCTAACTTTTCTTTCTCTTTCTTTCTTTCTTTTTCTTTCTTCTTTCTTTCTTTCTTTTCTTTCTTATTCCAAAGTGATGAGTTTCTAACCTCTTCCTTCCTTCCTTTCTTTCTTTCTTTCTCATTCCAAAGTGATGAGTTTCTAACCTCTTCCTCTTTTTCTTTCTTTCTTTCTTTCTTTCTTTCTTTCTTTCTTTCTTTCTCCTCCCTCTTTCTTTCGCCTTCTGCCTACTTTTTCCCCTTTTCTCTTCCCTTCTGCCTCTTTTCCTTCCTTCCTCTTTTCTTTCTTTCTCGTATTTTTCTGTCCTTCTTTCACTTTCTTTTTTATTTCTTTCTCGTTCTTTCTCGTATTTTCTCTCTCGTTTTTTCTTTTCTTTCTTACTGTCTCCCCCCTCTCTGTTTCCTTCTCCTTCTGCCTCTTTTCCTTCCTTCCTTCCTTTCCTTTTTTTCTTGTATTTTTCTTTCCTTCTTTCACTTTTTTTTATCTTTCTCGTTCTTTCTCGTATTTTCGATCTCGCTTTCCTTTCTTACTTTCTCCTCCCTCTCTCTTTGTTCCCTTCTTCTGCCTCTTCTCATTCCTTCCTTCCTTCCTTCCTTCCTTCTCTCCTTCCTTCCTTTCTCTTTTCTCTTTCTCGTATTTTTCTTTCCTTCTTTCACTCTTCCTTCTTTATCTCTTTCTCGTATTTTCGATCTCGCTTTCCTTTCTTACTTTCTCCTCCCTCTCTCTTTGTTCCCTTCTCCTTCTGCCTCTTTTCCTTCCTTCCTCTCCTTCCTCCCTTCCTCCCTGACTCGGATGGCTTGAAGGAGGAGGCGGCGGCGGCGGCGGCGGCGGCGTGGTGCCCGGGACGCTTCCAGGACTCGGGGATCCCGCCGCAGATCCGCGGGGAGGGCCCTGCACCCGCCTGCCTCAACAATGGCGGAGGCGGGCGAGAGCCACAAGAGGACCCCCCTCTACCGGAGCGTCTCCTTCCAGCGCCTGGCCAAGTGGATCGGGCCGGCCCAGCCCGACGGAGGAGGAGGAGGAGGAGGGGGCGGAGGAGGCGCCCCTCGGGGGGAGCCGCCGCCGCCGCCGCCTCGCCAGCCTCCGCCGCCCAGCGCGCACCACCCGGAGCCCATCGGGCGGCGATCGCCCGGCCGCGCCGCTTCCTTCAGCGTCTCCCGCCCCGCCGCCGCCGAGCCGGCCGGCCGCGCCCTGCGGAGCCTCTCGCCCTCCGTGCGCCAACTTTCCCAGCGCTTCTGCGCGCCCCGCGCCGAAGACGAAGCCCCGCCGGGCGGCGGAAGAGCCACCTGCGCCGCCGCCGAGGCCCAGCAACCCCCGGCCCCGCCGCCCCGCCGCCGACGCCGAAGCAGCAGCAGCAGCAGCAGCAGCAGCACCGCCGCCTCCTCCTCCTCCGCCGCCGCCGTCTCCTCCTCCACCACCACCAAAGGGCCGGGCGAGCCGCCGGCGCCGGACTGGCCCAGCGTGACGGCGATGCGCAAACTTTTCGGCGAGAGTTTTCGGCGGCAGCAGCACCGACGGGGCGGCCCGAGCGCCGACGGGAGCCCAACGGGGCTGCCCCCCGACGGCGGCCCGGCTCCGGACGGGCCTTGCTGGGCCGAGGAGGAGCGTCCGGCCGGCCCGCCGCCGCCTCCGCCGCCCCGCAGCTGCATCCCCTTCGCGGGGCTCCGGCCGGCGCGGGGCCCCCCGGGAGCGGCGGAGAAGCCGCAGCCGCCGCCGCCGCAGCTGTGGGATACTTCGCATTCCTGGCATAGTTCGGCCTCCGCCGCCGCCGCGTCGTCGTCGTCCCCGTCCCCCGCCTCCTGCCCGGCCTGGGGCGGCTGGGGCCCCCCGGAGGTCTCCAGCAGCAGCGAGGAGGAGTTGAGGCCCTCGGCCGGCTTGGGCCCCGCTGCCGGCGGGCTGGGCGGGAAGAGCTGCCCCCGAGGCTCTTCAGGCAGTGAGGAGGAGGAGGAGGAGGCCCAGTCCACGCCGGTGCCCCTTCGGAGGAAGAAGAGGGAAACTGAGGCCCGGGTGGTGGCCGGCATGGAGTGGCACCTCAAGGCCCAGCTGGACCTTTCTGGGGGTCTCCTGCCCCCCCAGGAGGAGGAGAGGACCCCCCCAGCTGCAGAAGCCAAAGGGGCCTCCCTTGCGGAGGGAGCCAGGCCGCTTTTGGGGGGGGTCCCCCCTGAGGGCAGCAGGCCCTTCCCGGGCCCTTCCCCCGGCCCGCTGTCCTCCGGGCCTCCCCTGCCTTTGGTGTCCAGGGTCTCCAAGGTCAACATCCCCCCCTTTGCGTCCAGCCCGGCCGGCTCCCGAAGTAGCAGCAGATACTCCAGCACGGAGACCTTGAAGGAGGAAGAGCAGCTGGGGGGCTCCTGGGTGGGCCAAAGCAAACCGGGTCTCGGCATGGGTCGGGCCCCCAGTTTCGGCCCAAGCGACAGCCCGGCCCGCTTGCAGCCCCCGGTCCGGGCCCGTCCCAAGCTGCCGTTGGGGTTGATGAGGACCAAGCAGGAGTTGTCCTCCTATGAGAGTTTGCTGCCTTGTGGCCTCGAACCCGCGGCCGCCAGATCCAAGCACCAGAAGTCCATGTCCAACCCTGACATTGCCAGCGAGACCTTGGCCCTCCTCAGTTTCCTGAAATCGGACCTTCTGGAGCTGAAGGCCAGGAAAAAGGGCAGTAGGCTGAGTGACCAAGAAGACGTGGCGGTGGGCGGCGGTGGTGGCGGTGGTGGCGGTGGTGGTGGCGGAGACGATCACTGTCCCCAAGGAGGCACGGAGCACCAGTTGGTGGGGAGACCTCCAGGTGAGGTTCAACCACCCAACCGTTGGGTCTTGGGCAACCGTCCAACCCTGAAGGACCTCACGGCGACGCTGAGACGGGCCAAATCTTTCACTTACTCGGACAAACCGGCCTCCCGCCGTCTGTTTCTGCAGAACGCCATGAAGCCGAGTTCTTCGGAGCTTCTGCTGGCCACTCGGTTTGACCACAATGGCGTGCTTTCGGACAGCCGAGACAGGGAAGAGGACGTGCTCCCTGTAATCATTCAAGATCAGTACATCCAAGAAGCCAGGCAGGTTTTTGAGAAGATAAGTAAGATTGGCTCAGAACATGACTATAATTTTGCTCTGGAGCCCAAGAAGAACGGAAGGGGGGAGGACGAGAGGGAGGAGGCCTCCAAAGAAGAAAGCTGTGGTCAGTGCTTGGAGAAAGCGGATTCTGAAGGAAACCTATCCTGCAGGAAATCTTTCCAAGAAGGGCCTGAATCCAGTATGACAGATGAAGGAATTGTGACCGAGCCGGACACGTCTCCTGCTTACAGTTACCTCGATCCGTCCGTTGCTGCGTGGAAGTTGGCCAACCGAAGAGAAACTGAAGCCGGTCCTCTTGAGATGAAGGAGAAGCTTCTACCAAACCATCTCACCAAAGGGAATGAGAAGGTGGCGGTTGTGGATGAGGTCCTCTCGAACCACAAAATGGTGTCCCAGGGTTTGTCGGAGACACCGCTGACGCCGAGTGCCCTTCGGCGCCGGAGGAAGTTCCCATCCTTGGGGAACAACGGTCCCGAATCCAGCAACGGAAGCAGCGGCGAGTCTGGCGGCGATTCCTACCGATCCCTTAGCGATCCCATGCCCCACAGGAGGTGCTCCATCTCCGAGGACTCCAAGAACTTTTCCGTGGACAGTAACCTTCTGGGCTCGTTGAATTCGAAGACCGGCATCCTGGATTCCTCGGCCGCGGCCTTGTCGGATTGCACAGGAAGCGCGGCCAGTGATCTCTCCGTTTGCAGTGATGGACTGAAGGATTACAGCACCGTGATCCAGAACATCGTCAGCCAGCCGGGAGCCATGGACAAGGTGATTGATGAGAAGGGGAACGGGAAGCCCATCAAGAAGAAGTCTTTCAGTGACCCTAGCCGCCGTGGTGAGCATGCCAACCCGGGCTTCATGGGCGCCGGAGAGCCCATTAACGAAATGGAACAGAACATCCTTCCGTCCAGCAGCGAACCCATCCTTTCGGAGCGAAGGGACCAGTCCACGGAGCAGGACGTGCGTAGGTTGTCCTCCCAGTCGGAGCAGATCCTGCTGATGGCCCCAGAAGACAACGAGGTTGACGTCCCTCAAAACTTTGGCTTTGATCCCAAGCTGGCCGAAGTCTTGTCACCTCGGATCGCTCGGCGAAGTTCCAAGAAGCGCAGCGACCGCGTGAGTAACCAGGAGAGCAGAAAGGAAGAGACGGCGCTGTCTTCCGCCGTGCCCACCACGCTGGGCAGAGCGAGGCCGGCGTCCAAGCATGTGCGCCACACCAGTGAACCTGCCACCTTTCTCCCCCTCTCCAATGCCCACCTGCCCAGTTCGCTCTATCACAACGCACACCCTGCCATTCAGGAGCTGCCACAGCGGCCGGCGAAGCCTTCTGTCGCTCTTCAAGTCCCGTCCTTGGAGGATGTCACCAAGCACTACGTGTTGACTCTCAGTCCTGGGGAGACCCTCCCCAGCAGCACTGTGGATACCCCCAGATCGTCCCCTTCCACGCCAACCACAACGGAACCCAAGCTGCCCAGGTGCCCGAAACACCACGGAGATGTGAACGCCAGCAGCTCCAGGAGCAAGCCGAAAGTGGTGAGTTTGTGGGTCTTTTTTTTTTGTTTCTTGGAGTCTAAAGAAATGTCTTGACTAAAGGTTATGTTCTACCCAACTTGGCCAGGGTTAAAATTTTGCAAAACCTAGTTGTGTGTAGGATTGTTGCTAGGCTAACGTGTAGGACCTGGATGTCATTTGCCTTCTCCCAACTTCATTTATGGTGGGACTGATAACATCAGCCCCTTGGTTTGAACACGGTTGTGTCTAGCTACAGAGACAATGGCATGAAAGAGTTATTTTGGTTTCTAGTCCTTATGGCAAGTAAAGGCAGAGGCTGATATTACATGCTATTTGTCAGGTTTCACGCAAGAGAGTTGTTTCCGTGAATGAGGTTTGTTGTGTTGGCGTTTTTTAAGGTCTGAAGGAAGAATTACGGTAGACCTTGTGGCACACGAGTGCTGTCTCTTTGGGGGGGTTGTGTTGTTGTGTTGTGTCTGAGGGGAATCAAGCACCCATCCAGTAGAACAGGGGTCTTCAAACTTGGCCCTTTTATGACTTGTGGACTTCAACTCCCAGAATTCCTCAGCCAGGCACGCTGGCTGAGGAATTCTGGGAGTTGAAGTCCACAAGTCATGAAGGGGCCATAGTTCCCCCATGCTGGCTGAGGAATTCTGGGAGTTGAAGTCCACAAGTCATAAAAGGGCCAAGTTTGAAGACCCCTGCAGTAGAATAACACAGCACAGGCCAAAGCCTAGGGCAGTGTTTCATAAACCTTGTCCACTTTTAAGACGGGTGGACTTCAACTCCCAGAATTCCCCAGCCAGCATCTTAAAGTGGCCTCTTAAAGTGGCCACAATTGAGAAACACGGATCTAAACTGGAACAGGCCGGAGCAATTCTTCCCAGCCTTGGCAACTTGGAGATGAAGGGACTTCAATTCCTAAACATTTTAATTATAGCCATGCTGGCTAGGGAATTCTGGGAGTTGAAGTCCACACACCTTAAGGTTGCTGAAGTTGGGAAACAGCCAGGTGTATGGAGCATGTCAGGGAGGATTAGAAGATAGAGGTGCCATTGAATTAAGCTTGACTCTTTATATCTCTATGATCAGATCCATGTTGGGACTTATTTTTTGGCAATACAGGTGGTCGTTGACTGAGGACTACAATTGGGCCCAGATTCTCCATTGCTAAGCAAGACAGTTGTTACATGGGTTTTGCCCCGTTTTATGAGCTTTATGACCAAGTTGAGCTTGGTTGTTTCCTTGCAGACGTTTCATGACCCAACTAGGTAACATCATCAGAGCTAAAAGACTTTGGGCAAGCTACTTGTTTATAAACAGAGAGCAAACCCCACTCCCTTCTAGCACTGATGGTGTTACCTAGTTGGGTCATGAAACGTCTGCAAGAAAACAACCAAGCTCAGAGAGCACCAAGGACTCCACAATCCTCCTCCTCTTCCTCCTCCTCCTCTTCCTCCTTCTCCCCCTCTTGTTACCCCTCCGCCTCCTCGCAAGCCCCACTCCCTTCTAGCACTGATGGTGTTCCCTAGTTGGGTCACGAAATGTCTGCAAGAAATTAACCAACCTCAGAGAGCACCAAGGACCCCACATTCCTCCTCCTCCTCCTCCTCCTCCTATTCCTCCACTTTGCAAACCCCATTCCCTCCTAGTACTGATAATGTTACTTAGTTGGGTAATGAAGCGTCTGCAAGAAAACGACCCAGCTGAGAGGACCCCCTCATTTCAACCCTGAGGACAAGCATCCCCTCCCACTGATAACCCTGAGCTGAGCAGGCAGTCTGACTTCTCATAAGGTGCTGAGTGAGAAGAAAAACGAACCCCATTTAATCCTTCCCAGATTTAACATGCAACCAGCCAGTTTTCATAAAGGTGAATAATTCCCCTTCATCTATCTGCCTTTATGTAGAGCGCATTGGACCACAACTCTCATCATCCCCAGCCAGGCAGGATAGGAAATGCTTGGCTCTCCAACACATCTGAAAGGAGAAGGATGTAATTTGCAGTTTCCTCCCTTAGACAGTAAATTATACACCCCAGAAAGTTGCATGTGGAAAAAAGAAAAAAAGAGGGATTGAGGCCCTTACTTTTAGTCTATGAATGGATTTAACTTTGCACAAACAGCAGGATTTGAGGTGAGTAGGAAAACCTGGGCTGGACTCTTCTCAGAGGAGATGGACTTGTCGAGAGCCCTTGGACTAGTGCAGGGGTAGGCAACCTGGGCTTTTTTATGACTTGTGGACTTCAACTCCCAGAATTCCTCAGCCAGCCATGCTGAGGGGAAAGGGAGAGGTTTCCAAGCTGAGCCATGCTGGCTCAGGAATTCTGGGAGTTGAAATCCACGAGTCATGAAGGGGCCATAGTTCCCCCATGCTGGCTCAGGAATTCTGGGAGTTGAAGTCCACGAGTCATGAAGGGGCCATAGTTCCCCCATGTTGGCTGAGGAATTCTGGGAGTTGAAGTCCACCAGTCATGAAGGGGCCATAGTTCCCTCATGCTGGCTCAGGAATTCTGGGAGTTGAAGTCCGCAAGTCATGAAGGGGCCATAGTTCCCCCAGGCTGGCTCAGGAATTCTGGGAGTTGAAGTCCGCAAGTCATGAAGGGGCCATAGTTCCCCCATGCTGGCTGAG